TTGACATCCTTCTTGGTGCTATCTTATGATTCTGTATGTGCATAATATATTGTATGATACTCCGGTTTCCTTTACCTTTTATAACCCTATACTGCTGAGAATAAAATATATCACTTTGCTTTATACCTCCTTATATGACTTCTTTTAAAAAGGAAGACAAGCTTACATTGGATTGTTGTTGCTTCTTAACTCACATATGCTTGCAACTCTCGTCATTGATCCCTCACCATCTTCAATCTAATAAAAGATTGCTATAATATGGTGAAGGAGGGAGCTATGCAGATCTGTTAATTTTTTATGATTGGAACGAGCCTGTACTCACCAGGTGATGTGTTCGTGTAAATCGACTTATGGATCTGCATTTTGGGTAAACGCGGAGAATAAAATTCTTTTATTTTCATTGGGCAAGTTGTAGCTTTTTTCCCCTTAACAGATTATATTCATTGTAATAATGTTTGGTCTCTTAGTCTGGCCACTAAATTAAAAGCTATAACAATTTTCTAGATCTCATTTCTCTCATCGCATCAAATTCTTCCATTCTCCTATTCTTTTTTCAAGATTATTCTGAAAAACTCAGAACATTCTCAATGTCAAATTTGAATACATGATCTGTACTCTCGTCCTATAAGTCATATCCTTAAAGGGTAGGTCATAGGTAGCAGGTAGGAATCTTCTTTCTGAGTTTCAACTGAAATTTAAATGGTATTGCAGGCACTTGATTTTCCTCAATAAGGGCCTATAGAGAAGAGATGTGGTGTTGAAATTTGACTATTCACCAAAATAATTTGCACATTGGAGGCTCTAACATATCAACGTTTTCCTCTGGAGGTGTTAGCCAAGTTCATTGTTCCCTCTTGCTTGTCCCGGAACTAAGTACGGCAGCAGACTCAAGAAACAATTGTGTCAATTCGGTGCAAATGATTGTCCTGGCCTCAGCATCTGAATGTTAGGCTTAGGTTAATACCCTATGAGTGTAGTCATTTATCCATAAATGGATCTGTTTCATGAAGAATACAGACATGACATTTTGTCTTCCACTATAGTGTCTTAAATGTAGATGATTCTGTGCAATATATTGTTACAACAGCTGTTGTAAATAACTCTTGATTCTGATTGATGTTGGGTTGCCAATTGACATTGGAATATAAATCTTTTCGACTAGAAATTCTTTCTTTTATGCTACTATCCTTAGCATTAAGCCATGGTGATGTACACTGGTACAAAAATCATCGATGCTGGGATGTAGTGGGTAATTCTTTCCCGAGCTATCTGATTGTTTGCGAATATTGCATTAGGAAATTAGGATATGTTCTGGGAAGTCGGTTTTGTGCGAAGGCTTTGTTGGGTTAGCTTTGTTGGGTTTTGTGCGAAGGCTTTGTTGGGTTAGCATGATTGCATCAATGTTATCTTGGCATATTAAAATATATGTTTTTTTGCCTAATTTAGGGTTCACTTTTGCTTGTTGCTTGGAGTGAGTATACTTCTTCCGGAAACTTTTCATTCATTGAATGAATCGGTAAGAGGAAAAAGGAGGTAGATGAGACATTCATAGAAGCAATTTATAATTTTTAAGTTACTCGAAGATAATACTGTTCTGAAGGAAGCTCTATATGTTCTTGGTGAGAAAGTATAATACACACTTCACCCCAGTAGAAGTTTACTATATGCAGCCAAATTTCTTACTGCCCATCTGAAGCACTTTCTAGATTTTTATGTCAAGCCCTTTTTGCATCCATTATCTAAAGATTTGACGGTATTGTATATCATATGACACTCGGGTATTTTTTTTCCGTTAACTCCACAATAAGATTAGAGGAGACAATATTGAGCCTTGTAAAGAAAATGCTGGTATACAAGAGCTGTATTTTGAACCCCATAGAATTGTGGTTGAAATCATTTTTCGCTGTTATTTGAGCAGGGTCATAAGATCTATCTTCTTTTTATGTTTCTAAAATAGCTTAAGCTGCTATTTTTCTAATTTGGAATCCGCCATCTATCATCTTAAATTGCTTTTCACATGACAATCCATTCTGCTATTTACATGACAAGACACGGCTATTAGGTGTTTACTGCTGGATCCTGCATGTATTTCATTATTTAGCTTGCAGTTATCCAAGCTATGAAGTGTAGGCATAGTGTCAGTGTATGGTACAATTACTTATATCAATTTGAATCATATAACATAACTTTCTGATTATTTAATTTGAAAACTTAACGTCTCTGTTTCATTATCCAAGTCTTTTACTTCAATTCAGATGTAGAAAGGTGTAGCTGTTATTAGCTTGTTGTGTTGGGAGTTCATGTCTTTGCTTCTCTTATCTTGCATTTGTTTCATTGTTAGCATTGACACCATTGACCATGTTGATAAGTTTTGCAAGCCAGATGTCTACTTCTAATACTTGTTGAGACCACAGATATTATCTTTTGAGGCCTCTCAATCTATTGCGTCATGATCTAATGTAGTAATCATAGTATCTGTTGGTTAATTGTAGGCTGGTTTATGATCTCTTAATGGTTCTAACTTCTAAGGAAGAACTTTGATCTTAGGGTCAACAAGGATACTAATGCAAATTGATTGTTTTAAAAAAAATTAATTTATTAACCTCATGTGATTTAAGGAGTTACTAAAGGGTCATGCAAAAGTATGAACTAATAATGCAGTATGAAATACCTCTTTTGCGCTTTTTCCATATGACTTTTGTCCCTATAAAAAGACTGTTACGCTGCTTTATGAAATGTAGAAAACTAATCTTGGATGTGTCCTGGAAGTCTGCTAACTATAGCAGCACAACTTGTTGCTATCAGAATCAAGCTTACTCCACAAGTTTAGGGTGGCCAAGGTTCTTATTCTCTTTTAATTTGGACTGGACATATCTACCATGTGACTGAGTCTCTTGCTTGGCATGTCTAATATGGATAAAGCTACTCATGCGTGGATCATGTTCAAAATCTTAAGATTTCTTTTCTCAAATGCATAGACTGGACAAGGCTGGATTGTCTGTAAGGAAGTTATCCTTCTTATATCTGCTGCTTATTAGAGTTATCTTCAGTCTTCTGTTTGTTCTTTAGCCCTAACATTGACCAGTTTAAGAAGCATGTCATTAGTTACTTTTCTGTACTCACCGAGTAAGCATATTACAAGAGAGAAGAAGATAACTGTGGATAAGGTTATCTCTAGCACTTCATTTTGATTATATATACCAACTCGTATTTACTGGATTTTTTTGTTCAAAGTTAATTAGGAGTAAACATGGCCTGATGCGTCCCTCCAAGCATTTAGGTAGTGTGTTGTTGACTTGGCGCGCACACGATCTAAACTTGGGGTTCTGAATGTGTGCTGAGTCAGAGACACACCAGATAACTGCGTGGAGATACACCAGCCACTGTTTACTCCTTATTGAACTTGATATTCCTTCAAAAAAGTTGTCGAACTCCAAAACATTCATGCTTCATACTTTTTTGCACTTGGTACTAGTGTTGGCTTCATTTTTCAGTCTGATTTGACCTTACAAGTCAGCATGAACACCACATATTATTGAAATTTAATTTGCATGCTCTGATTTGTCATATTTTGGGCAAATCTAATCCAGATTAGCACTTTATGTATTATCATTGGTAAGATGAAAGCATCTTTGCCTTTCTTTTCCTGTTCTTAAACTTTAATACAATTTGCTTTGCAGGACTTGCTATTGCAAGTCGATAGTTAGTATGTTGATCCGGATCTCCATTTCTAATGCCAGATGAAATTCTTGATTCTGATAATCAGATTTCACATGAGCAAAAATGTTAATATTCTTTTTACGGCTCTGTTTGGATACCATGATGTTTTATTTGTTTCCATGGTGTTTTTGCCAAAAACAAAACACCATGAGTTTGGAAACCATGGTGTTTTTTTAAGCTAAATCATCCTCAAACCAAAAACACTACTTATAGTTATTTCAAACTTTTAGGTGTTTTAAGTTTGGTGTTTTGGTTTTGAGTTTGAGAATGTGTTAATATAATATCTAACATAATATATTAAATATAATTAATATAGAGTTATTATCAACATGCTTATTATATTATACTAATTATATTATAGTTAATTTAATATATTACTAATATTTATTAAATAATATAAAAATATTATAAATAAAATATCTTATAATAATATAATAACATATTAAATACCAATATTTAATATGTTAATAATGTATTGTAAAATAAATAAATAATAAAAAATATAAATAAACTAAAAAAATAATAAAAAAGTTATTGATAATAAATAATAATTTAATAATGATATAGTAATATACTATACAATAGTATAATCGCTATAATATTATTAACTTTTTAATAAATAAATTGTAATAAATTAATAATTACATATATTATATAATAGTAGCATATAGTAACATATTTAATAATAACATAACAATATAATAATAATATTATAATAACATATTGTATAGTAAATGTAATATAATCTATAAAATATTAATATATTATGTAATAATTAATATAATTTATTATAAAGTAAAATAATTTTTAATAATAAAATAACTTATTGCTAACAAATGTTAATGTAAAAATAATATATTCATAATATAATAATATTTATTTATATCATAAATACTAATATATTATTAAAGTACATTAATAAACTCTAACATATTAAAAACTATAATATATTATATAATATTAAAATATTTATAATATATTAATTTATTAATAACATACTAGTAATAACATAATATTAACATAATATACAACAATAACAAATTGATATACCAATATAATTAAATATATAATTATTTGAAAATAATATGTAATAATTATAATATAATAATAAGTATAATATAATATAGCTTATTAAAGTACAATATAATATTATAATACATTATACAATATTATATTGCATTACATTTAATACTTATAATACTATAATAATGTAAACTAAATATTATAACATTTTATTTACAATATATTTTATTATAAATAATATATAATATATTAATAATATGTTTAATGCTAATTTTGTAATGGGTCAAACTTGTGTTGACCAAAAATACTTAACATGGTGTTTTGAAAATATTTTAAGGAAAAAACACAACAATGTTTTTTTTACAAAAACACAACAAGGAAAACACCGTGGTATCCAAACGAAGCCGTAATTTTTCTGAATAATGATTTTTCCAGTCTTTACACATTCTCTATACTGGATTCAAACAGAAGCATTCATGTACTTACAAGGTGCAATACTGACATGACGTGTTAACTGCTATTTTGATGTTTGGATTTTTTCCCTTCTTGATTATCTGGTCCTCACAGAACATCTCAGTTCAATTGGACAAGGTCTCACTTACTTTCTCATTGTTACAATGGCACTTGTGGCTGGTAATTGTATTGGCGGAACATGGTTGGAGTTAGATTCTTACTATATTTCCTATATAGACACCTCTCAAACTTGTGAACCTTAGAGTTGAGACTTCTACAAGGAGCTATAAATACATGCAAAACAGATGCATAGCTATGGAGTTGTGAGTTGTCAAGGAGCTTGTTGGATGATGCTAGCCATTCCCTCTGACTTCCTTGTGCGAACCAGCCTTGTAAGTTGTTTCTTATAGATAAGTGGGAAATGTATTATTTAGTACAGTATCCAACCCTTAGGCTTCTTAATGAGGGCCTTCTTTGTTGAGTATTGTATATGGGCTATTGAATCTTAATGAGGGCCTTCTTTGTTGAGTATTGTATTCGGGCTATTGAATCAGTTTCATTATTTAATAGAGGTTTCTCGCATGTTTTTCCTTTATGTAATTGGGTTTCCTTGTCTTATCAATGACAGGAGGGACTTTAACAAGATTGTCCTGACGACCTTTACATATGTAGGCTTTCAAGCAAGTAAGTTAAATTGGAAACAAGTTTCCTTTGCTAGGATTAGTCTAAAAGGGTCGATAAGGATGACAGTCAATGAATATTCTCAGCATGAGTTCTACCCTAGGATATTTTTAGGCTATCTTTTACTGCAGAGAGCGGATACTAGATTCTGATGGGTCTGATGGGCCCAGTAAGTTACGGGAGTGGGGTTTCTCTTTTTTATTATTTACGTTAAGACTTGAGTCACTTATTTCCGCCCTCATCTCGAGTTGAGCATATGTCTTGTAGGAATACATTTATTAAATGTATATCACCCCCAACTTTGGATAATCTCCCATCTGCAGCTCAAGAAATATTGTTCCCTGCTGTCCATTTGATATATTTCCTCTTCCACGCATGTTTCCAACCCTCTTGGTTTTGAGTCTTTCGACAAACAGTTTATGTTGTGCATTTGGTGCTTACATTGTTGAATCTGTATATTCCTTGTGTTACTGACTGTTAGTAGGAGACCCTCTCCCTCCCTGCCTTCCCCTTATGTTTTATTTATCTTTAACGTGGTTTTCTGATTTTGATTTGCACTCTACATTATTTAGCCATAAAAATCGGACTTCTGATTTTGAAATCAAGTTTGGGTCTGTACTACTCATTACAACTTTCTCGTAAATAATGTTTGTTAGTAGCACTGTAGTCTCTTGGCATTATTGGTTTGTCATCTGACTGTTGTAAGAATATCTAACCTAAAAGTCATTTTACTCTTCAATTGTGTTAGGGTTCTTTTATTCAGGGAAGGATTCTGGTTGACTAAGGGCATTACAGCCCGTGATCACTTTTTTTTAATGTTGCAACTACTGCTGCAGGTCAACATGAAACATTGGAATTTCTAGTCATATGGTATTTAAAGGTGCCTTACTGGAAGAAACAATGGTGACCTCTACTGAGTAATAACTGATTCACTGTGGGAACTCGAGCAGAAACTGAGTTACTGAGACAATATCTACTTTTATTCATATCTAGTCATCAACAGTCTGTCCCTTAAGATTTTCAGAATGTCAAGAGAATCATAGATTGTTAACATTTAAAGGAGAAATGTATCTGTAAACTGAAATGAGAAGGGAAATGTTATGCTTTAAGGAGTAATACAATTGATTGAGATAACAGTATTAAATGAAAATGCAATTCCATCATATAATGGCGTGATTTCTTAGTTTCTCAGGCGTTTTGCTGCTTGTCCAATGATTAAAGAGCTTAAATAATTAATTTATTTTGAGATGCCTGATCCTCAGTCTAGATTGTTTTAGTTTCACCACAGATCCAGTACTCCTTTTGAAGAGAGGAACGTTTGGCATGGAGCAAAGGAATTCGTTCGATATACCTCAAACGCCTACTGTGAACCATGATCAAATCTGGAGTCGTCCCCACCCTGATCCTTCATTGCACTTGGGTATTACATTTTCTTAATGACAGTTTCTTTACATTAATAATATTATACATATTTTTGCCTTATGTTTAGGTGCAGGAAATGAATCTTTTATGCTTCCTACAAATGATGCAGCACGCGCTGTAGCATTAAGGCCAAATGCCTATCCTTCATCTAGTTATTCAAATTACACAGCGACAAATAATGGACCATCATTTGGTCCCTACCTTCATCCTTCATCCACTGCCAGCTCCAGTTGGTTTCCACCAAATCAAGCCCTGTACGGGCTACCACCTTATCTCGATCAGTATGGAAGTAACATAGTTGAACCCCATGCAGAGATTTTAAGGGCGTCATTTAAAAGGAAAAGCCCAACTAGGCCTCTTGCTGAAACTAGAGAGAATTCTACCGGATACTACATTGCTAATAGTCCTTCTAATCCTCGCACGTCCTTTAACCCTTTACTCCCAGAGCCTATGACATGGCCTCAATCTCAGTCTTCGGATACTCTCCGTGTTTCCCATGGTTACAGAAATGATTATCAATTGGGTTCTCGTGAAGACTCTCGGAGAAATGTGAGAAGCCGTCATAACTACCACACTCGTGTGGAAAGTAACCCAACTGTGGCTTACCCGTCGAGTAATCTGCCTCATTTCCATGGAGCAGGAAACTCATCAGGGCTTAGAATGGGAGGATACTCAAGCCAAATGCCCATGGCCGCGCAAGGAAGAAACCTTTCTTCAGGTTAGTTTACTTCAAGTCTTCAATACCTTAGTATATTTGGCTGTTTTATGTTTATTTTAATTTTTGTTATGGAAATTGCAGATTTCACATTTAATTATGGAAATTCTTCAAGTCATAGCATGGGAGGACACTTGAGCCATGCACAAATGCCTATATCCGTCCAAGGAAGAAACCTATCTTCAGGTTGGTGTGCTTCAGGTGTTCAATACTTCTATAAATTAGATTGTTGTATGTTAATGGGTTTTGTGTTATGGAAATTGCAGATTCCAGCTTTAGTTATGCAGGTCCTAGCATGGGAGGACACTCGAGGCATGCCCGCATGCCTACAGCCACCCAAGGAAGAGATCTTTCTTCAGGTAGCATCCTGCATATGTTCAATACTTTTTGTTTTAGATGGGTAACTTAAAAGTTTAAAAAAAAAAAAAAAAACAACTTAAGTTTGACCGCTTTGTAAGATAACCCCTTAAACTCTAGAAAAGTCACTTCTCTTAAATTTTGTCAACTAACTCTCCCTTAGACCTAACTGTGCTTGTGAAAATCATGCACGTCCAAAGAGTACCTCCAATCTATTAAAAAAAAACCCTTTCATGTTCCGTGTAATTATTTTAAAGGTAATTTTCACAAAGCCTTTTGAGTTCGGTCCACATTTAGTCGAATTTTGACCAAAACGCCCTGATTAATTTATTCAAATTAATACATGAAGTGCTAAGTTTAAAAGGATATTTTCGCCCTTACTGGTTCATCTAACATCATTAGGGAATTAGTTGAAAAAATTGAAAATGTTTTGGAGTTTTTTAAAACACTCCAAATTTAAGGGGGCTAAAGTGAAAATTTTAAAGTGTACGGGGTTATCACAGAATCCACCAATATTACCCTATATAAGATTGTTGTATGTCAACTGTTTTTTTGTTATGGAAATTGCAGATTCCAGCTTTAGTTACGACAGCAGCCAGTCTTTTGCACGGTCTGGTGTTACCAACACCACTTTTGGTGCTAATCGGGTATTTCAACCAAACAGCAATTGGAGAAGCAATGCAATTCCTTTACCTACTCCTCATGAGCCTTTTACACAAGGCATAGGGGCCAATACCCATAGTTTCAATCAGATTTCAAATTCTTATAGACCCATTTCAAGCTATACTCCTGTGGATGTGGAAGGCGGTGGGCCCTCTCCAATGGAAACTGTTGTGTCCTCCAGATATTTCAGTCCATTTTCTATCACAGAGCGTCGCAGCTACAGGAACAGAAGGACGAGGAGCCCCTACAGTAGATCACAGAGGAGGATTTCTTACAATAGGTCACAGTCAAGTTATTATGGAGATAATACCTATATGATATTGTTATCTGAGGTACATCTCTTTATTCATAACATTACACGACTGAAAATATAAGTGCACCACTTAGAATATCAAAGTCTATATCACATTGTTATCTGAGGTGTGTCTCTTTATTAACAGCATTAACTTCTGAGTAAAAGGTACACCACTTAGAATATCGAAACTTAGTATATATTTTGAAAAAGCAAATAATATGGAGATGATGTTGATTCTGTGTTTTGACCAATTGTATAGTTTCTTTTGTGCATTCTTATAAAAAACTATTGCATGTGTACCATTGATTTATTTGAATATTAGTCCCTTGAATCTTTCATTTTTTGAGATTAGTCCCCAGATCGTTGAAAATGCTCTTGTGTCTCCCAAATCGTATGAGTATGTTGAAGTTAGTGCCTCTGTCATAAAAGCTGTCCAATCTGTTAATTGTAGTATGGTTAGTCCTTAACCATGGATTGTGATTATCAAACTACCCTCACTAAATAACTTTCCCCTCAATCCTCTGTTTCCTCCATTAGCTGAGGAACTTAAAGCTGAAAGCATAATTAAAGAGCTTAAAATGATACAATAAAGCATTTAAACTGGAGATGGCCTCATGGAGGAAATATAGGGGATTTAAAAAAAAAAAATCATGAGGAGCTAACCATTAGAATGATGGATTTGGTAAGCAGATAATCAATTATAGGGGATGAATATTTAATTGGGTTTGGGTTTATTGAAAGAGGTGTTGTGTATAAACGGCTATACTTCCGTTGTCGTTGTTGACAGGAGGAATAATGACATTATTCCCTTCCCGTTCATTCTCTTCTTGGTTCTGATGATTGGGTCGAGTGGGCTCCTCTTGATGAGTTGTCAAAGCTGCGAGTTGCTGATCGTGCATCTCCCTCATCCGCTGTAGGGTCATTTCCATCTCGAATTTGAAAGCTTCTTTCTGCCGAGCTAGGGCGTCTTCAAGCATCTTGTTCATTTGTTCGGCACTGATCATGAGTACCTCGCGGGGTTGTCCTTCGCTAGATACTGTGTTGTCCGAAGCAATCGCGGAGCCGGCATCTGATGCTTCGTCTTCTGATGGTGATCTCGTCCGGATTCTACCATAAGTCCCTCGTGTAATGGTCCCGGACTGTAGGTGAGTTAGATACCAGGGTACCAACGGGATTGACTCGGGATTGTCCCCTGTCGATGCTCCTTTGCTGGCCATGTTGATGGTGACCTTCGGGAATTCTCTATCTTTGACAATCCTTCTTCTTCGCTGGAAACGCCTAGGCTTAGCTTCAGACGTTCCGGTGGAAATTCTGTCAAATACTGAAATTCTCCTTGGGGTTTGAGCACAGGAGCATTCTGACAGCACTGCCTTGATTATGTTGGCGCACGGGCAGCGAGACTCCATGTCCTGCACATACTTCTTTCGAGATCTCCCCATACCACCAGCTCTATAGTACAGCTCATCGGCTTGGTAACTGGAGCAACCTATAGAGTGTTGGCATGTGCTCCTTGGTAAAACACCAAGTTAAATTTGACAGAATATTCCGCCTGATTCAACGGGTGCTAACTAGGGCGACTGTTTTTAAAACACTTGTATGATCCTAGGGACATGATACCAATTCTAATGATTTTGAGGACTAATATAAAAAATATGAAATATTTGAGGGACTAATATTGAAACAACTAGGGGTGCTAACTCGTATCCGTATTTATTGAAATTTGCGTAACCATATCCGTAGATATGGATATGGTTACTAAAATCTATAACCAATAGGATATTGTTACCAATACAGTTTTAGTGAAATATCCAGATCTGCATTTGAAATATCTAAATATATGTTGATCATACAGGTGCAATTGTTTCAATCATTAGATTAATAAACTTGAGACCAGTGTTATCCAAAGCACGCGCCTCATTGTGCCTTTCGTGCCCTACGACGTGGGGCAGGGACAAGGCGCCCTACGTCTAAGGCGACAACACCTTTTTGTGCCTTACAGATGTCCTGCATGAGAGCGTTTCACATAGGGTGCATGCAAGGCATAGCCTCGTATGTTTTTGTTCTTTAACATTTGAATTGGTCTTTATACCCAATAAATCATAACCCTAAAAGAAAAATACACCCGGTAGGCCATTTTAGTAGCCAAATTGAGGGCTCTTAACTCATTCTTATTTATTATTTGATTTGATTCTTATTAGTCTTGATTTGACTTTTGATTTGGAAAACTATGAACTTTACTGCTGGAAAACTACGAATTTTTCTGCTTTGTTAGGTGTATTAACATTATGAGTTAATATGTTCTTTTGTGATTTGACATGCATTTTATGTGAAATTTCATAAGCATATTTTTTCAGGCTTGATTATCTATCTAGAAAAATTATGTATGCGGTGTGAGCCTCGCTTCACTCGGGCGCGCGCACTGCATCACGTCTTGCACATGTGCACGCATAAAAGGACGTTGCGCTCCACATTGTGCATCGCGCATTGATAGCACTGTTTGAGACTACTTTTAATGATCAAGAGGTTTAATCTTAGCTTTTCATATATAACAAACATGTTAATGAGCTCTCTTGTTAAATATGACCTAGTGTGTATATATATGTATATATATATATATATATTATTTTGTTTTCTCATATTCATTTTTTATCCGCATGTATACCCCCATGTATATCTATATCCGTTTCTGATTTTAGCGGATATGGATATGAGTTTTCCTTACCGAGGCATATCTGTATCCATATCCATGAATGAACGGCAAGCGGATACAGATATGATAAGTGTCGTATCTGAGCGGTCTCCGAACCATTTGTACCCCTAGAAATGATGCTTTTTTCATCAATTTGTCCAACAAGACATGTTTCTTTAGGAATTTTTTTTATCTTCAATATCATTCAAAAAAGTTTTTGATTACATAGCACTCACCAATTTTCCTGAAAGGAGAACGACCCCCTGTATAAATACTATAAATGAAAGTCTCTTTGAGGAAAGTCAATGCTTTATCCTTTTCTTATATCATCTTTTATCTTGTGAATATAGTACACTGTAATTAATTGACTAATTGCTAATTACTTCAGGTGGCAGCAGTGATTGATGAATCTACCCTCTTTGTCTTTTTGAGCTGGTTTGATGAGCATAGAGAAATGAGGCTAGATGCAGACAACATGAGCTACGAGGTGAATTCGGAGACCCGTAATCACTCCAGTCTTTGATCAGTCACTGATCTTTATTTATCACTATTGTTGCAGGAATTACTTGCTTTGGAAGATAGGATTGGAATTGTGACCAGGGGTTTGTCGGAAGAATCTATTTCTGGATGTTTGGAAGAAACTACATATTGTTTGTCCAATCAAACTGAAGATGGTCGGGAGGAAGAGAAGTGTGTGATATGTTTGGTAAGTCTTTGCAGTTAATTAATTTTTAGGGCAAGTTTCCCAAAACTACAATGAACATTTTTTGGGTGTTTTCTTTTCTTTTCTTTCTTCTTTTCTTTTCTTTCTTCTTTTTTTCTTGGGGAGGTTATGCATGAAACTACAAAAAAAATTATTACAGAAAGTTATCACAAACTTAATTATCACTTAAAAGTAACAAATCCAGTGATGGTAAACTTTGCTCTTATTTACTTCATATAATCTAGGCTTATTTTCACTTTGCTATCCTGAAATTTATCCCCTTCTTTTGGTGCCTGGGCAGGCAATTTAATCGGGAATCTAAAGAAACCTGAAAAGGGGTTTCAAAGTGAAATGGGATTAAAACTGTGGTAGCGAAGTGTGTTGAAAAGCCTTAGTCTGTAAGGTATTGAAGTGTTTAAAAAACACTTTTAGGTATCAAAGTAGTTAGTAGTTTTCGCTAAAAAATAATAGTCTACAGTAATGTTGTGCAAAACCCTCTTAAAAGTTCATGACAGTTTTATGAAATTTATCTTGTCTATCTCGCGAACTTGCTGATGTTGAATAATATTGACTTGTTTGTTTGACAGGAAGGATACAAAGACAGAGATAAGCTCGGAAGGTTAAATTGTGGACATAACTTCCATGTTGATTGCATCAAGAACTGGTTGGTGGTAAAGAACGCCTGCCCACTATGCAAAGCTGCTGCTGTCAGAGATTCAACATGATTTCTTATGAGATGACTCAAGCTGTCTGGTCTGTTTAGTTTTCTTTGTGAATACATGCTCTTATGGATGTTTAACTCTTTACAAATTTAAACAAGAGGCATTTGCCACCGTAAATTTACCGGTAGACTGGTAGTTGGCTTTAATCAAGCTTCTTTAGTTTATGTTTAGTTTTTCTCTTGCATTTTGTAGAGACTTACTGATTGAACTGATGAATAGTGAAGTGGTGTACTGATATGAACAAAGAATCATCCCGAGCATAAGAAGCACATATGTCTGTTCAGCGTATAGCTCTCTTTGGTATTCATATGTTGTACATGAATTATGTCGGTCTATTGTCAAATATCGGACAAATTTTCAAAAGAGACCCATTTGTGAACTTAATCCTAAAAAACGATCTCATTCAAACAAGTTTATAAAAACCGACCTGGTTTTAGCCTCAGCGTTGAAACCAGGTTGGTTTTTGAATTTTTTTTTTTTTGAAATTTCACGGAAGTTGAACTCCATGAAGTTTAGTAGATCTGCTAAACTTCACGGGAGTTTAACTCCCGTGAAGTTTAATAGTTTAAAAAAAATTTGAACTAAGAAACTTCATGGGAGTTCAACTCCCGTGAAGTTTAGCAGATCTACTAAACTTGTGACGTTTTGGAGTTTTTTTTTAAAAACCGACCCGGTTTCAGCAATGAGGCTGAAACTAGGTCGGTTTTTTCACAATGGAAACCACTCAATTGGAGGCATTGGGTTGACATTGAGCTCTGTTGAATGAAATTTCAGTGGTCCCCAAGCAAATGAACATCTGATCTTGACCTAGTACTCAAGTATGAATTTTGATAGCACCGGACGTTTCATTTCTGTTAGTTATTAAAGTGAAAATAAGACCGTTCGGATTCCCTGACGTACCATTTTGTTTCTACCAGTCTCCACTTTCTGCAAGTACGTCTCGCTGATTTTTTTTTAAGTAATCAGATTATCTGTACGTTTCTTCATCTCTTGCTTTATTGACTAGGTTAATAAATGATGTTATTTTGTTGCCTGCCTCCTTTGTAGGGGTGGTAAACGATCGAATCGAATCGAATACTAAGGTGTTCATATTTGTATTTGTTTAAAATTATCGAATTCGAATGCGGACTCTAATATTCATATATTTAGTTTTTCGAATTCGAACTCGAATACTTGGTATTTGATAAATATTCATAAATATTCACGAATACTTATCGAATATCAAAGTATATTTATTCCGCTAAAGAATTTGATTTTCAAATAGTTTTAAAATTCATAAATAAAAATTATTCCTTTATAATATATGATGTATATATATTTAAATCATAATTTTAATTAGAAAATAGATTTATGATTATTTAAGTCTTAAAATCGAGATATAAAACTTAAATAGAAATGGTAAGTGGGTTAAAAATATGACATCATATGTGCAATAATACAAATAATAAGATGTGATCAAATTTTAAACGAATATTTAATAGACAAACGAATCGAATATACATCTGGTTAAATTCGATTTGTTAATAAACTCGAATACTAAAAAACATTTGTTTAGTGGTAAATGAACTACCGAATCGAATATGACCGAATAGTTATTCGAACAATTATCGAATCATTTATTAATTATTTGTTTCATTTCCACCCCTACTCCTTTGCATCAACTAATACTAATTATGTTTCTGCAAACTTTTAAGCCAGGCTTTCTCTCTGCAGGTATTCTTCCTTTTCTTTTAAAGGGTTGTTTGGTTGTTGTTGGTAAAGTTGTGTTTTTATGACACAACTTGGAAAGTTGTTGTCCACCTCATCAATTTCACTTTTATACTTTTCTTTGTTTGTTTTTGATTCCATTGGAATCATAAAACACTTGTTTGGTTTGCAAAATGAAACTTTAATTGTTTGTTTGGAAAGTGTAAAAAGTGGTCCCTACTCAAATGATCATATTGGTTGGAATTATTTTTTCCTAACTTCAATGTTAGCTTTCTCCTAAAATCATGACTTTTTTTCATGAAATCACTTTACAAGCCACATCAGCATATGAAATCACTTTACACTATTTTCACAACTACAAACAAACAATTGAAAGTGATGAAAGCTGACATTGGGACCCACTTTTTTACACTTTACATCCTTCTACATGGTAAAAACATACAACCAAACAGTTAGTTACAGAACTTTTTACAGTCTGCACGACTCTTTTCGCGCTGACTCTCACTTGGTCTTCTATTTCTGGGTCTTCTGGTTACTAAAAAACATATTGTAAACAGAATAATAAAAATTTAATGCCTCGACTTCATGTTAGTTCCAACTCTGCAAATGCTTAAAACTCCAAAATTAGTTTAAGATAAAAAAATCGGCCTAACAAAACCGGTTTAAGCCCCGGTCCGATTCCATTGGAAAAAAAAAAAATTTCATGTTTCGGTTATTTGCCAAAATAGGGACATGACTTTAACTGCTTTCGTTCTGCTAATCTAGTTTAACTGGATTCGCCAATCAGGCTTCATACCTTTTGAAAAGGATCTTTAGACATTAGTCATTTAACCCTTAAATAAGTGCATATTAGATTATTAGTCACTTAACCCTTCAATAATTGCAAATCTTGAAAACTGCTAGGCTTTTGCAAAATGGTCCCTCCGTTGGTTTTTCAATTAAAAAACCTAATCAATATTGGGCTAACTCCTTGCATTCACCAAACTACCCCTCTTTATAATGTTTCAAACTTTTGTGAAGCCCGACTTTGGGTTAGGGTCCTAATGGTTACAGATGAAGAACTCAAGTGGATTTGGGGTTTTTAAGCGGGTATTATCATTAAACCTATTAAGAAATGAGTTTAGAAACATAATAGAGGGGTAAAACAGTTACTTTGCCCCCAGCTATTAGATATGATAAAATATTTCCCTCAAATCTAATGCGTGTTAACTAGAAGGAACATTTTGCAAGAGCCTCAAGAATTTGAGGGATTAATAATATGCAAATTTCAAGATTTGACGGACTAATCTGCAATTATTAAAGAGTTAAGGGACTGATAACTGAAACCCACTTTTAGAAAATAAAAACAGAATTTTTTTTTTAAAACTTGAAAATATTATTAAACAAAGACATGACTAGCTCGCTTTAAATTGAAAACTACCTCACTGCGCTCAAACTAGGGGGTGTGCAACGGTCAGTTCGTTTTTTATCAAAATTTGAACAACCAAACCGAACCGCCTATACTTCAAAACCGAACCGAACTATTACAACTCGGTTCGGTTTGTTCGGTTCTAACTTCATCGAACTTTTTATCAAACAACAAACTATGTTAAAGAAAAAAATATCAACAAAGTAGAAGATTATGAAGTATTAAACACTGATATAATGATATTATTTTCAACACATAATGATCCAGAAAATGAGTTTAGAGTTTGAGTCTTTAACTCTTTGGGGACGAGACGGGTAGGGTTTGAGATCAGAATGAGTAGTATCACACTATATTCAGTCGGTTCGGGTCGGTTTGGGTTGAAAAGTTTTCAAACCGACCCGAACCGCCCTACTCATAAAACCGATTTTTTCGGATCGGTTCGGATCAGTTCGGTCGGTTTTTTCGGTTTGGACCGAACCATGCTCAGCCCTAGCTCAAACAATGCATATCATTGGCCCCAGCACCAAGAAAAAGCAGAGCACAGCTATTTGCAAGAAAAGTTGACAGTTCACCAACTCATCACCATTCATAAATTTCATTAGGCCCAAGCCCATAGGCTCCACAAGTCATTATATGGTCCGTTAATGTTGGCGCCAACAATCAAGGGCCCAATCTTTCTCTTATCCGGTCCAGTACCGTCAAATCCTGCAAAGCCCAACGGCAATCCGATGCCACAAAAATTATATTTCAAAAAGATAGTGAAGGAAGGATATATGTATTCAATATCAAATACCAATTCTTAGGTAAGGACAAATATCTGGGATTGCCTTCTATCATTGGTAGAAAGAAAAATGAAGTGTTCTCTTACATTAAAGATAGGATTTGGCAGCGGGTGCAATGGTGGAACGAGAAGTGTCTCTCTCGAGCGGGGAAGGAAATTCTCATCAAATCTATTGCTCAAACAGTTCCCAACTTTGCCATGAATGTTTTCTTAATTCCTGTCTAGATCTGTGATGAGATAGAGAAAATTTTAAATAAGTTTTGGTGGCAGTCCAACCAAGGAAAGAAGAGGGGAATTCATTGGACCACATGGGAAAAGCTCTGTCTTCCTAAGTCTAAAGGTGGAATGGGTTTCAAGAAACTACATGAATATAATGTGGCGCTTCTTGGAAAGCTTGGCTGGAATTTTCTTTCAAATCCCTCATCTTTGGTGACCCGAGTATATAAAGCACGCTACTTTCCTTCGACTTCTTTCTGCCAGGCTAAGATCGGCTATAGACCCAGCTACATTTGGCGAAGTATTTTAGCGGCTCAGTCTCTACTTTATGGAGGTTGCAGATTCCGAGTTGGAAATGGTTCTTCAATCAGCATATGGAATGATCCTTGGTTGCCTAATGCGGATCAAGGCTTTATTTCTTCTGAACCGGTCCCAGGGAGTGATAGTGCAACTGTTGATCAACTCATTGTTGCTGGTCAGAATTGTTAGGACTCCAACCTCTTGAGCAAGCTCTTTAATACACAAGATCGCTGCCATATTATGCAAATTCCCTTATCTGCCACTGGTAGTATAGATCGCCTATTTTGGATTCATGATAGGAGAGGGGTTTACACCGTGAAAAGCGGTTATAAGAAACTTATGGAGAGCTCTATATTCCAATCTCAATACGCATCCGATTCGTTTTGGAACATGTTTTATAAGAAACTTATGGAGAGCTCTATATTCCAATCTCAATACGCATCCGATTCGTTTTGGAACATGTTGTGGAATATAAAATCCCACAGAAGGTGCGCAATTTCCTTTGGAGAGCGTCACTAGATGTTCTACCAACAGCAGATCATTTGAGAATCAAGAGAGTTAATATACATTCCCATTGTCCAGTTTGTCACATTCACGATGAATCCACTATGCATTCTCTTGTTCATTGTGAGTTTGCGCAAAAAGCTTGGGAAGAAATTGGCATTTCCCTTCCTCTTCCTACGGCTCCTAATTTTAAGGATTGGTTCAATGCTATGCTTCAAAATCAGCAGCAGAACCTAGCTCTCATTGCAATGACTTGTTGGGCAATTTGGAATAACCGTAATGAGATTGTTTGGCAGGCTCGATCTTTCACAGTTTCCAAGGCTTTGTGGATAGCTTGCAACCTTCTAGAGCAATGGCGTAAAGAGAATGTAGTTCCTCCTCTAGCTACAGGTGAAACAGAGACTGCTAATAATTCTAAATGGAGTCCTCCGGCTGCGGGCAAGTTCAAATTAAATGTGGATGCAGCAGTGTTCACAAATCAGAGGAAATGTGGATTAGGGTTCATTATTCGAGATGACCAGGGTTCATTTGTGGCAGCGAGAGCTACTCAGGTTCATGGCATCATTGACCCAGCATTAGCTGAGGCGTTGGGGGTACGCGAGGCCCTCTCGTGGCTGAAATCTAATTTTCCTCAAGTTCATGAAATTGAAATGGATGCAATTACGGTATACAATGCACTTCATAGAGATGAACCAGATTTTTCCTACTTTGGGTTAATCATCGAAGATTGTCTTTCTCTTGCGCGGAACATTCCAAATATCAGATTCCTTTGGACTAGAAGAACGGCAAATAAAGCAGCTCACATTCTAGCACAGACCGCTAGAACTTTACAAAATCATGTTGTTTGGTCGTATTATCCACCCCTTTTTCTTTATGATGTATTCGATGAATGATTAAGTTTACTTTTCTAAAAAAAAAAAAAGGTAAGTGCACTAACCGTACATAGATTCGTGCGGATCTGTTGTCCCCTGATATAGTATCTGTTTACTTTAACTAATAACAGAAATTTTAGCACCGGGATCGCTGTGGAAAGGAGAAGCCATCAATAATCTTGATCTGTTTCTTTTTGTGAACACTGAAAAGGAATCTTTAATACTCTTGAGGTTAAAATTTTGTTGGTCGTAACTTTTTAAAGCGGATTGAATAAATATACTAATGGTAGTTGTTTATGCATTGGATAGTTAACACGAGAAATAATATACTTATCCAAAGTTACAGTTATCCTTTTTTTTTCCCCATCATTGATTAATGGGGGTTTTCGATGTTAGTTCATTAAATCTTTAGTAATTTGATATTAGCCTCTCAAATCTTCATATTTAAATATTCAAGCTGCGTTAATATAAGATTTCTTATGTATACATTTTTTAATTTTAAGAGAGGGGATTATGTCATCTAAAATTTCTGAATGCTCTGGATAGGCCCCCTAGCATTCCAATAATTCGGAACACACGACAAAATCAGCATGGAATGCAATTTCGAAAAATATATGGTATATATACGCTAAAATTTTCACATGACCAGCCGTTTTAAGATAAAGTTCAATTAGGAAAACCCCCAACGAACTTTCAGACTCTTCAAAACTCCATCGACCGTTTCGCGCCTCATCTCCGATCCCTAGACCGATCCCAAAACCCTAGCTACGATTCTGCAAATACCAAGAAAATCAAGGGCGTAATCGTTAAAGAAACGGTGAATGGGGAGCTACAGGATCTGCCTCTGCTGCTCCAACACCTTCAAATCAAAAGAGGCGGAGCCGCCGGCCGACGTGAGGTCGGCGTTCTCCCGCTTCACCGAAGGCGGTGGGATCCACATGAGCGCCGCCCAGCTCCGGCGGTTCCTGGAGGATGGGCAGGGCGACGGCGAGGTCGCCTCCGAGGAGGCGGAGCGGATCCTCGACCAGATCAGGCACCGCCGGCGACACCACCTCATCGGGAAGATGGAGAGGTCGCCGACGATCTCGGTTGAGGATTTTCACCATTATTTGTTCGACGAGGAGCTCAATCCCCCGATCAGATCTCAGGTGATGCTGATCATTTCGTCTCTGACGGCGATTTGTTGTTGTTGTGGAAATTTGTGAGCTAGCTAGGGTTTTAGCCTAATTTTTAAATTCGTTTTAATTAAATCACGTGAAAATTTTAGGATTTGGAGACAACTTATACGCCATTAGTTATGTTCCAGGTGATGACAGATCAGTTGTGGTGTTAGTTTTTTATGAGGACAATTAAAATATCGAATCCCTTTTAAACATTACTCTTTAAAAGGAATGTGGGAGTTAAGGTTAGCGTTGAAGACTTGATATTTCTCTTCATGGATTTTCTTCTACAATTATGCAACCCGTAGTCAAAGAGGTCTATCTTCTCTTCATGGTCGTGCACGCAACAGAACCGCTAGAGGGGATTGTATAGCTAAAAAACATCTTGCCTAGGCTGATTGCATGAGGTAGGCAGATGCGTCTTTAGAGCAGGGATCTCACGCTTTTACTGAGGCTGATAGATTTGTTCTTATAGTTTTATTCAAGAAAGTACATCATATTTCAATTATGGTAGTAATCAAAATTTCAAGCAAGAAAGGATTTGAGAAGTTTCGGAAAGATCAAAGAAGTGTGAAAGAGCTGAAATGACTCAATAATTTACCAAATAAATATATCTCAGATATACAACTAATTAGCAGCGGAATACTCAAAGTAGTCTCATATATTTTTTGCTTGCCTATTCTGCTAAGCGATTTCTATGTAATGAGAAAGCCTTTTTAACTAGCTGCTTGAGCAACGACTTAATGTTGTTTATTGAATAATCTTCTAAAATTCGCATGCCCAGTAGTGGAGGAATTGTTAATGCCTTAGAATCTATATTCCAAACTAGCACTAATTAAGCACATGAAGGATCAAGCAAGTCCAAAATTTTAGTTTTTTGGAAAATAAATATCTGATATCATGACAAGGGAGTTCATTTTAGGAGAACAACACGTATACTTCTACTTCATCATGCCACTTGGATTAATGTTCCAAAGACGGTTGCTTATAGATGTGGGACATGCCTTTTTATTATCAAATTCTTTCTTTGATATAAACCTTACACATGCTTATTGTTAGAGTGAATAAAATGATAACCCTCAATCCTCATCACAACTTCGGAGCTTTGGTGTAGTGTAAGAGACTTTAACATGGTATAAAAGCAACTTTGGTTCAAATTCCATTGAACAAACATTTAAAGTGGGTTAAAAAAAAGATCAATTGCATAAAATAGTCCAATTTTTGACCAAGGAAAGGGCGCAAACCTACGCGGGTATGTTAGAGTATGAAATTATAAACCTGAACCCTTACTATGACTTTAGAGCTTTGGTGTAATGGAAAGGACTTTAGCACTTATTGAAGAGGTTGCTCTGTTACCACTATCCAGTAAAAATTCAGCGAATAGGATACAACATATAGGTTCGATGCATTCTTTATGATGAGCTTTTTTCTGTTTCATGACACTATATCCTGATTTCCAGGTGCATCAAGATATGACTTCTCCCTTGTCCCATTATTACATATATACAGGCCATAATTCGTACTTGACTGGAAACCAACTCAGCAGTGATTGTAGTGACGTTCCAATTGTAAAAGCTCTTCAAAGAGGTGTGCGAGTAATTGAACTGGATATCTGGCCAAACTCTACCAAAGATGATATTGATGTTCTACATGGAAGGTAACTTTCACTTCTCTCCTCCTTTAAATGCAGTGGTTACGATTTAGGATCTTCTTACCTTAAGCATTCCTATAAAGTATTATTGCTTTCTTGGGCATCAATGCATCATTAATTCTGACCTGTCACTTCAAAAAGAAGAATGAGGACTTTATGAATACAGAGAGTTTATATCAATGTCACCCCAATGTAATGACAAGTAAGCAAGGGTGTTCTAAGAATTTACAATTCTCTAATAGATTATCTAATAGTATTAGGCATAGACTAGAACGATCTAAGAGGAAAAATGACAGGAGACTTTTACAAGAAAATAGATTTAGATTAGCTACTTGGAATATAGGTACACTTACTGGAAAAACTACGAAATTAGTGGATGTTATGCTTAGAAGAAAGATAAATATAATTTGTTTACAAAAAACTAGATGGATAGGTGAAAATCTAGAGAAATTGAAAGGACCGGATATAAACTTTGGTACACGGGAAAAGAGAAGAATAGGAATGGAGTGAGAGTTCTTTTAGATAATATAATAAAAGAAAGTGTTGTAGAGATAAGAAGAGTTGGAGATAGAATAATACTAATAAAAGTTATCTTAGGTATTGAGGTTATTAATATCATTAGTACTTGCACACCACAAATAGGCTTGCCCGAAAGTACTAAAAGGGAATTTTAGGATAGATTAGATGAATTAGTACAATGAATCCCATTTGGAGAGAAATTATTTATAGGAGGGGGTCTTATTGGGCATAATATTAGTAAGGATAATAACATATATAAGAGGATACATGAAGGTTCCGGGTATAGAGATAAGAACAATATAGGTAAATCAATATTAGAGTTTGCAATATCGTATGATTTGATAATAACAAATACACTTTTTAGAAAAATGGATGCATACTTAATAACCTTTAAAAGTGGTTTTAATAATAGTTAAATAGACTTTTTTCTAACTAGAATGACAGATAGGTTAATATGCAAAGATTGTAAAGTTATACCAGAAGAGAGTTTAAGTATACAACATAGATTGGTAGTCTTAGACATATTTATTAAGAAGTGAAGTAGAAAAACTAACGTGAATTAGAGACTAAGAACTAAATGGTGGAATTTAAAAGGAGAGAATTTAATACATTTTAAAGATAAGATAATAAAAGAAGATATATGAAACATAGATAACGAGACTAATATTATGTGGAATAGCATGTCTTCTTGTATGAGGAAAGTGACTAAAGATATACTAGGAGAATCTAAAGATTGTAGATTAGATGGCAAGAAGAGTTGGTGGTGGAATGAGAGTATGCAAGCAGAGAAAAGAAAACTTTAAAGAGTGACAAAAGTATAAAAGGAAAAAACTTAGAAAAATATAAACTAGTAAGGAAGGAAACAAATACATTGCTTATGAATTTTTTTATAAGAAGTTAGAATCTAAGAAGGAAGAGAAATATATAAGCTTGCTAAGATAAGAGAAAAGAAGAGTAGAGATTTGAGTAACATTAGGTGTATAAAAGTAAGGATCAAAGAGTTCTAATGATCGACGGAGAAATAAAAGAGAGGCGGAGGAGTTACTTTTATTAATTATTTAATAATAACCAAATAAGTGAGAAAAATAGAGATTTGACCGTATAGTGAATAACATGAAGGATGGATATTGTCAAAAAATCAGGATTAGCGAGGTTTAAAATACTCTAAAAAATTGAAAAGTGAAAGAGTCGTAGGACCGAACGATATCCATATTGAAGTTTGAAAATATCTTGGAGATATGGGCTTAGGATGGCTAATTAAACTATTTAAAAGATTATTGAGACAAAAAGAATGTCAGATGAGTGAAGAATTAGTAATTTGGTACCGATATATAAGAATAAAGGGGATATAAAAATTTATTCAAATTATCGAGATATAAAACTCATAAGTCATATTGTGAAACTGTAAGAGAGGGTAAGTGAGCAAAGACTAAGAAAAGAGATAAGTATATCTAAAAATCAATTTGGTTTTATGCCTGGGAGGTCAACTATAGAACCTATACATATTTTGAGACAGTTGATGAAGAAATATAGAGAGAAGAGAAAGGATCTACATATGGTTTTTATTGATCTAGAAAAAGCTTATGATAGAGTGCCTAGAGAGGTAATGTAGTGGGTGTTAGAAAAAAAATATAGCTCTACTATATTTATTGATGTGATTAAAGATATGTATGATAGAGTAACAACTAGAGTAAGAACTAATGAAGAAGAGACTAAACCATTTCCTATTATCATAAATTTACACCAAGGGTCAGCTTTAAGTTCTTAGCTTTTTGCATTGGTTATGAACTAATTTACTAAGCACATTTAGCATGAAATCCCATGGTGTATATTATTTTCCGATAATATAGTATTAGTAGATAAAACTAGAAGAGACATTATTTCTAAAGTAGAAAGATGTAGACAAGCTCTTGGATCTAAATATTTTAGAATTAGTAGAACAAAAACAGAATATATAGAGTAACATTTTTTAGTAAAACTAAAAAAGATAGAAAGTCTGTGGTACATATTGATGGCCAAGAAATACCTAAAATTAATTATTTTTACTATTTAGGGTCAATCATTAGGCATGATAGTGAGGTAGAAGATGATTTTATGCATCGAATCAAACCAGGATGATTTAAATGGAAAAATGCTTTGGGAGTCTGATGTGGTCGTAGAATACCAATGAAACTAAAGAAAATTTCTTATAGGACGATTATAACACCAATTATGCTTTATGATTCAAAATTTTTGGGTAATTAAAAAATAACATGTTCAAAAAAAGAGTGTATCAAAAATGAGAATGTTGCGATGGTCTCGTGGGTATACATTAAAAGATAGGATAAAAAATGAGTGCATCCGTAGTAAATTAGAGGTTGCGCCTATTGAGGATAAAATGAGAGAGAATAGATTAAGATGGTTTGGTCATGTACAATGGAGATCTTTTAGTGCACTGAATAGAAAAAGCGATAATATTAGAGTTAATGGGGCTAAAAGATCTAGAGGTAGATCTAGAATAATTTGGTTAGAAACAATTAAGAAGGATATGATTAAGACTAACTTAACGAAGGAGATGACTCATAACAAAATGGAATGGAAAAATAGGATTCATGTAGCCGACCCTAAACATTTGGGATAAAGGCTTGGTTGTTATTTTTGTTGTTGTTTCTCTGCTTAGAATGTGTAATAGAACAAGTTATCCTTGTCATTTACTTGCAGTTTACATAATTAACTTTTTGCACATTCGTCTTGTTTTTTTTTATTTCTTGTACATTGCACCTCGTTTTGTCAATTATCATACTTATTCTTTGCAATTACCCAATATTGATGGCGATCTTTGTTGTGATGATGATCATGTTCTTTATTACTGCTTGCCTTCATGATCGCATTTCAGCTATAAAGTTCTGTGAATTTATCTTAACTAAAATGGAAGGGTGTTATCCCAAGCTGACTGGGACTCAAAGAATCTTATTCATTCTTTTGGTCTTCTGCTAGTGGCTTGTCCATGTTGGTTACTGAATGATTTTGCTCGAGGTGCTTAATCAAATCAAGCTGGGAATTTTGGAAGATCAGCTTGTATCATAATCATGCTTGTGTACCAGAAATGCCAACATCAACCTTACCCTAGTTTATTATGTTCTTAATAATTGTAATGCACCCTAAGTTGAATTGATACACAAATTTTACAACCTGAAAGAAAAAGGAAAAGGTTTATTTAATCTTTTTCAAGCCAAATTTTTTTTCTCTTTTCTAAAAATTAGTGCATATGCTTAAAAAATTATTAGTTCTCTTTTGGATGCTCCCGGAACAATGTGGTTTGACTTTTAGAAACCGGCAGTATGAATATGCATGCATGCATGTATGTGTGTCTGTGTTGTGTGTGTGTATTGTTTTATACAGTACTCATATGCTGTTTAAGGCATATATGAATAGTATCCTTCCCCTTTCGCCTTCTATATTTTGTACTTTTGTCATCATGTGACGAATCCGGGTAAATGGTAACATGAATGGAACTAGCTAATTTTTCTGTACATTCATTGATGTTCTCCTTTCTGTTTCGATGGTTTTACTTTGTTGCTGAAGGACATTGACTTCTCCGGTGGAGCTCATTAGATGTTTGAGATCCATTAAAGAGTATGCCTTTTCTGCATCAGAATATCCTGTTGTTATAACTCTAGAGGACCACCTTACTCCTGATCTTCAGGCTAAAGTAGCTAAGGTAATTTCTTCTTAGCAGAGGCAACCAGCAAATTCTTATGAAAACCAACGTTTATACTCATTTAATTTTTTTAAATCATTCAGATGGTAACTGAAACATTTGGAGAGATGCTGTATTATCCTGACTCAGAGGACCATAAAGAATTTCCTTCACCAGACTCTCTGGAAAAGAGAATTATTCTTTCAACAAAACCTCCACAAGAGTATCTTGAAGCTAAGGATTACAAGGGCAAGGAGAGTGGAGCTCAAAATGGAAAGGATTCAAAAGAGGAAGGTGCATGGGGAAGGGAGATTTCAAACCTTAAAATAGAAACCGAATCTAATGATAAGGTGTGAAGTGAGAATTTTGTATGAAGTATTTTTTGTACTGCATGTTATTCAAATTTAGTTGTCAACCATCACTCAAAAATGTCAATTGACATTTATAGGATGAAAATGATCAGAGTGAAGAAGAGGACGCTACTGTTGATGATGACCTCAGACTAAGCCAGAAAACAGCACCAGAATATAAACGGCTGATAACTATCAGGGCTGGAAAGCCTAAGGGTTCTTTGCTAGATGCGCTAAAGGTGGATCCTGATAAAGTTAGACGCCTTAGTTTGAGTGAACCACAGCTTGAGAAGGCATCAGCATCTCATGGGCTTGATATAGTAAGGTAATTCTATATTTGAACATTGTCCCCTACTGTGTTGCATAATTTGTGCTGTCTTTTTTTTTGTTGAAAATATGAAGGATCGCCAGGATGTGTTATATATCTAAAATCTGTCAAAGTCAAACTTCCATTTTATATTATGCTATGCTGTAACACTATTAGAATTGATTTACGAATCTGGTGCTTTTTGTCTTTGTACTCTGGGAATGTCTGGACTCTGGAAAATGATTATTATCTGTTATGTTTTTCTTTAGGTTCACTCAGAAGAATATACTCAGGATATACCCAAAAGGAACTCGTGTTAACTCATCTAATTATAATCCTTTCATTGGTTGGATGCATGGTGCTCAGATGGTTGCATTCAATATGCAGGTTAGCTTCTATACCTAAGCCCTATATATTCAATGCAAGAAGTAAAAGTATTAATTCGTCATTTAAGCATTGAGATATGTTCTATGTTAAGAACTCAATCCAAGCATTCATAAGTTTTGTGGTTCATCTAGTTGGTGCTAACTGGAAGGGTTTAAAAAATATGATATTACACTAAAATATGGAGGAATTAATATGGAATTTTGATCTGTAATGTGTCTGCCAGAGACTTCCGTTCTTTTAGAGTTCAATTAGGGTGACCTCACACTTGCCCTTTAGTTATTTCGGGTTCATTCAATTTTTATTGTGCTGTATGGTAATACTTGGAGGCTAATGGATGTCTAAAATTGTCATCTGGCCCCTTTTCCTCGATTAGAGATACATAATAGATACTTGTCTCTTGTTTCGCATGCACTTCTCAATATTTTCAAGGTTCTGCTCTGAGTTGATGATGATAAAAGTTACTAATGAATTTTTCAATAAGGGAAATATAGAATCTCATATAGTGGTAATGCGCACTGTCTACCAACATCAACAAGTAAGTATATTCAATCACAAATCAAGAGCGCAAACTTACAAATTGAGCTCTTTGGTGTTGTAAAGCATTCATTAGTTGATATTAGTAATAGGGGATTGTTCAAAATCCTAGACAAATAGTTCAAAAATGGCACGCTCAAGCATTATAACTTACAATACCAAGATTTCTTCATATGACCAGCTACATTTCAGCTGGCAACTAGTTAACTTTGCAGCTTAATGTGGAAAGCAGTCATCTATTAGTGTTCTTTGCATTATGTCAAAGTTGATTTATAAACTGAAGTTTCATCATGGTTGCTTAGGAATATTTTAGCTTTTGCATGATCTGTCTTCTCTTTTAGAAGTGATATTGACTGTAAAAAGAAGTCTTATCATTCTAATATGACATTATAATATTGTTAAGGACTATCCTACTGCATGTAAGGAATGTGTCAAGAGTATGGCCATGAATACAAACCATTTTCCAGAACATCTACATACACCTTTTGGCCTTTTTTTTTGGCAAGGAAGGGTTAAGTCATGTGTTATGAATTTTGCAAGAGGTTACAAGATTTTAGTAATTTGGCTGTAGTTATTAGCAATTTTGTGCAGGATTTGTGTATGATTGTTGGGTACAAATAATTTGACCTAGGAGTTTGTTTTCCCCAAGGAATACTTGCTTTGTTGCATGGTAACATTAAGTTGCGTATTTGCTTCCAGCAAGAAGCGCACACACTATCCAGCTCGTTTGTTGAAGTTTATAAAAATATCTCCTATCTTACGTATTATGAATGCTTACAAGGATGCATCTTTCAGTTTCATTACTTTTCCATTTTTTCTTGATCAACCGAGTTTACATTAAGCTAGAACTTCAAATGGCTTTGCATTTCCACCTTTAGGGTTATGGAAGGTCATTGTGGCTGATGCACGGTTTCTTTCAAGCCAATGGAGGATGTGGTTACATTAAGAAACCCGAATTCTTAATAAAGACCGGTCTAAATGGTGAAGTCTTTGATCCTAGGGCAAATTTACCTGTGAAGACAACCTTGAAGGTAAAACATTTCTTAGGAATTATTCATTATTTTGCAAACATTTCCCCATACTAAAACTATCATTTTTTACATATTATGGTTTCAACAGGTTAAAGTTTACCTGGGTGATGGATGGCGAATGGATTTCAGCGGTACCCATTTTGATGCATATTCACCACCAGACTTCTATACAAGGGTAAGAAATATCAAATCTCTACACTTCGTGATAATTTTTGTAGTATAAATCATTGAAGAATAATATACGGAAGAGTCGGGTAAATTCATAGAAAAAAAAACTTAATTATTTACCTGAAATTATTTTAGAAAATACTTTTTAGTAGTAAATAGAGAAGACCAATACTTACATTGAAAATATAAATTTAAGATAGTCAAGTAAAATGATGAAATTAATTAAGTAAAGAAACACTTATAAATTTGACAGCTGTGGGATTTGAACCCACGCCCTTCCGGACCAGAGCCTAAATCTGGCGCCTTAGACCACTCGGCCAAACTGTCTTATGGCTATATTTATTTTAATTAAACTTAAATAGACATTCTAACCAATTCAGCCTTAGACTAAGACAGTTCAGATCTCTGATTGCGATAACTTATAATTAATAGTTCAAGGTTAGACGATTATAGGTTTATCATACAACGATTCAAACTAGTGATACACAAAGCTAACAATATTTTGTTAAGATTAGAAAGATTGTTTAGTTCTCTGCATTTTGCACAATGCAAGTGCTAGTTGCATGCAATTGGCTTGTTGAAACTATTATCAAATGCAGTTGTAGTTACAATTGTTTAGTTCAATTTTATAAAAATTGACAATCTATAACTGCAACTGTAGTTGCATACATCTGCTTTTAGGATATCAAGTCTATTGGACTTCTGTTTAGGGTTGAATGTGATTGGAGTCGTATAATTTATAACCAACTGAACTACCTTTGTATAATTATGAACTACTTGCACACAAAAGAGAACAAATCATAAATGTTTTGTATTTGGAGGATACTTAAGGGGGCATTTATAAGATATCCTTAATTCCTTCTTTTAAGTAACCTTAGGATAAATCCTGACCTTTGGACAGATGTGGCAGGTCCAAAACCTACCTACATACTACAGTAAAAATTTTCTTCTTGGAAGAAAAGAGAAAACATTTATTTTAAATCAAAGACCAATAATTTAGAACTGTATCAAAATCGACATGAGAGAAAATATAACACAGGTTTAATTTCACAAAACTCCCCTGAACTTGGGTGTTTTTGCACATGACCCCCTGAACTTTTTCATCTCACAAAACCCCCTGAACTTTAGGGGGTGGGGTGTCTCATGAAAGTCCTCTGGGCTTTGAATTTTTATTGCCACACCCCCTATCTGTAATTGGCAAATAACTAAAATTTCCTTGGGAATCAACCCGTAGTCTGATGATTTCCTATTTGTAGGAATACATACACCCTTTCCCCTGAAATTGAGGGACATTTTAGTTCTTTGCCAGCTATAGGCAGGGGTGTCTGGTGAGAAAGGTTTAAAGTTTAGGGTTTAATGTGCAAAAATTTAGGGTTGGTTATATGAACTCCTATTCTTCCTTTAGTTCTGTTGACGACTGTATCCAACGCTAATATACTGATGCAATAATGATTTACAGGTAGGGATTGCTGGGGTACCCGCCGACAGCATAATGAAGAAAACAAAAGCAATAGAAGACAACTGGGCTCCAGTTTGGAATGAAGAATTCGACTTCCAACTCCGAGTTCCTGAACTCGCGTTGCTTCGAGTCGAAGTCCACGAGTACGACATGTCCGACAAAGATGATTTTGGCGGGCAGACTTGCTTGCCGGTGTCGGAGCTGCGACCGGGGATCCGATGTGTGCCGTTGTTTGATCGTAAGGGAAATAAGTATAAATCCACGAGGCTTTTGATGCGGTTTGAGTTTGTTTGAGTTTGCTTGATGCGGTTTGAGTTTGTTTGAGTTTGCTTTTGTAGATTGTTGAGTTTACTGTGGGTGGACGTAATAAGTTGTGATGAGTGGTGGTGTTTGTTGTATATTGGTGAGTTTGAGTTGTATTTTACGTATTAGTAATGATGAAATACAGCAATTTTTCTCTCAAATACCCTGTAAATGTAATGTCTGTGAGATTTGGTTCTGGATTTCTGATACCATATTAAAGTTTTCTAATTTGTTTGAAGTTCATGAGCTCACTTTGATTTTTTTAGGCTTCAAAGTAATAAATTGCCAGCCTCGGAGTTGAGATCAAGAATACGGTGCGTGCCGTTTTTTCACAATAAGAGAAACAATTAAGTAGAAGCCCTCAAGGCTTGGCGTGTATTTTGAGTTTGTTTGAGAGGATTTTTTTTATGGAGGTCTTGTTTGGCAAAGGTTAAGGAAAATGGATTAAGGAGAATGATTAACTTAATTAGCTCATCCAATAACTCGAAAGATTAAATTATTAACCCGTTAAATAAGTTTAATTTTAGCAATTGTGACCATTTTTATTGTTTGGGAATAATGATGATTTTTGACTATTTTTCTTTATAAATAGAGGGGTTAACTCGTAATGCTTCTCAATAGGAGTAATTGGTAAACCCGTCATTTTTAGGGATTAACTCATTTTAATCTCTCTAGAAGGGTTAGCTTAACCCTTCTATATTTTTTGTGTTTGGCTAACTATAGAGGATTAACTCACTTTAACTATTGTATAGATTTTTTGTGTTTGGCAGATTTAAAAGGCTTTAAATCTCCTTAACCCCTCACTTAACCTGTTGCCAAACGGCACAGTAAAGATTAGTGTGTTTGTTGTATATTAGTGATGTACTACTTGTTACCCGTTCCATACACAGGATAAATTTAATATTCTTGTATGTACATTAGGAACAAAATGAGTGATTTATAAGAAAATGAAAAACAAAGAATAGAGATTTCCAGGATGTAAAGGGTAGTAAATTAAGATGAGAGGGTTGAAAAAAGATTATTAATTAGTAAATGTTACAACCTTTAAAATTTACTGAGTACCAAAAAACATGTAACTAGGTATTATTTTATTAGTATAGTATTGATGAGTAGTATTTTCTGTATTAGTAATCTTCAACTCAATACCTTTTTTGTTAAATCTGCTTTAAATGGTCAAATGTGACTAATTTGATACCATATTAAAGTCCTTTATAGTGCACCAAATTTTCTCGATGATATGTTGGGGTCGATGGTTATAATTTGCACTACAATAACGTCTATGATATGTTTCAGATTCTAGAATGTTTCAAGTTTTTCCCCTTTGTGACATGAAAATCAATCATACTATGAGAATCCTAAGTATGATAAGAAATCGGGGTCAATCTAGAGTTAATAAATTAATAAGATTTAAACAGAAGCTATGAATCAATTTTAACCTTATAACTATTAGATATTGGCCCTAACTCCTGTGTAAATCTATCATTTTTTTTATTATATCCAATGAGGGACTATACTCACATATTAATAACCTCAACAACTTCTTCTTAATTCGTAAGTTTAATTTGTCAGTATAGTTCAATGTTCAACTATGCTTCAATCTTCCATGGGATTTACTAACTTTTTATTAGTAGGCTAACCGGTATATCACTCCTAGGGGCATCTCACATTGGACTTCATCATCTTCTTTTTTTTTAAATTACTTGAATCATGATCTTAGCTCTGATATCATTTGTTGGGAGAGAAATTGGGTCCAACCTAAAGTTAATGGGCTCTAATCAGAAGTTAGGAATCAATTTTAACCCAAAAACTGTAGCTACTACGTATTGACTCTAACTTCTATTTATGGTTTGTTTGGATGGAAGGTAGGAGAGGGTAGGAGAAGAGAATTTGGGAATTTACTTTGTTTGGGAGTTTTTTGAGATGCATAATGTAAGAGAAGGAACGAAAAATTCACATCATTTTATCCACCCCCCCCCCCCCCCCCCCCCCCCAAAAAAAAAAAAAGGGGCATAGAAGAGGTAAAGTATGGGGAAATAATTATAAAAGGATTTTTGCCGTTTATCACTATGATCAACAACTAAATTTTAATTATAATACATTTTCTTTCCCTTCCATTCTCTTATGCCTGTTTGGATGGAGGGTAGAGAGGGGGAGGGGAAGAGAAATGCAGCTTTCATCTTGTTTGGGAGTTTTTGTAAGGAGGGTAGAGAGGAGGAAGGAAGGGGAACAGAGGGTAAAATTGCTTGGTTTTCTCCCCCCCCCCCCCCCCCCCCCCCTCCCCCCCCCCCCCCGATTCGGGCGGTAGAGGAGGGTAAAGGAGGGTAAAGGGGGTGTAATGACATTCTTACCCCCATCAAAACAAATAAAAGGACTGATGTGTTATTAGTATAAGGTCATTTGTGTAAATTTACATATATTTCCTTCCCTTCCCTTCCCTCCATTATTACTCCCAAACAAGTTATATTAATTTCACCTTCATTCACCTTACTCAACTCCCAAACAACATATTACAATTCTCTTTCATTCCCTTCCCTTCCCTTCCCGTTGTTTACCTTTCCTTCCCTTCCCTTAGTAAACTCCCAAATACACCATTAGGTAAAACTCTCAAATATGATAAAACAAGTTTCCCTCCGTTCCCTTCCCTAAACTCCCAAACAACATATTATATTATTTTTAACTTTCTCTATCTTAGCTTTCTTTACCTTCCCTTTCTCTTTTATCTTCCCTTCCCTTTCCCTATTAAACTCCCAAACACACTGTTAAATCCATCACTTTTTCTTATCATATCAAATGTGAAACTATACTCACATATTAATAACATCAACAAACGTAAAATCATGAAATAAAAAGCAAGGGATAAATAAAATTTAAAAAAAGAAAAGAACCAGAGGACAAGCACTATTGTTATCTTTTTTTCCTTGTGTTTTTTAAAGTCCCGAATTCACATATCATGAGCAGCTACTGGGGTTTATTTCTACAAACTTTCTCCTCACAGTTCACAGTTCACTGTCCTGATTGGTTAGCAATAAAATAGTTGAGATTGATAGTTGATTTTCATTTTTGTAAAAGTTGGAAATATGCGTTGCAGCTAACTTAGCTGCAGGAAGCAATGTGTTCCTTTCATTAGTTAAGAAGCAAAAATTAGTATCATACCAGGTGATGAATTCTAGTTAAATATATATATCGTTTTATAATTAGGGTCTCTTTAGTTGTCAAAGAACTCAGGAAAACTGTTATAAGGAAATTGATTTCTACTAACATTTTTTTCCTCTTTTGTTTGATTGAAACATAGAATATAAGAAAAGAGTATACGTGAGATCCAAACGCAGGGATGCATGTAAATAGATGCATTGGCTCCCAAAAAAATAGAAACCCCTTTCAGTCAATTTAGGAATGAAAATGTGCTAAAAAAAAGAAATGGGACTCCCTCATGTAATTACTTGGTTTCTTTCTTAGAAACCATCAAAAGATGATAATTTCCTAAAACAAACAGACTCTTGATCTGCAATGAAAAGAAGTATCATGTCAGATATCTTGTGCAATATAAATGCAATCCAATAGCTTTTGCACTATAATTAAGAAAATTGAAATCGTAATCATACTCCCTTTAAAAGCACAAGTTCGGAAAAATCTTTCGGTAGACAAAAATACTCTTCCATTAAGTAATAGTGAGTTGATAAATTGATGAATTCTTAAGCCCACCATAAAAACTATATCCTTGATTCTCACCATAACTTCGGAGTTTTGGTGTAATGATTAAAGGAGCTAAATTTAAGATGGTATCAGAGCAACCCAGGTTTAAATCCTACCGGCCACGAATTTTAAGCGAATTTTCTAAAAATTGATACCACTGCGTAAGTCCAGGTTGCAGCTCATAAAAAGGACGTTCAACCTGCAGGGGTATGTTAGAATTGATATAAAGTTATAATCATTAATCCTCACAATAACTTTGGAGTTTTGGTGTAATGGTTAGAGGAGCTAAATTTAAGAACTAATCAAACACGCCACTCAGTTTCCACTTTGCAAGTGAGCATAGTTGCAAAATGGGCAAGATATATTGCTGATAAGTATATTATAATTACAGTTACAACGAAACAGTTACAACGAACCAAACTGACTTATCATCATGCTTGTGCTCTTATGAGTCCATCGATTTGATTTACGAAGGAAGTGTAGTTAAGCAGAAAACGATATATTAATTGTTATTTTTAGAATGAATTTTTCTTAAGGATTTGAGGTCTATTTATAGTATTTGGGAAAATACTATGCACTAATAAAATAATATATTTTATTATGCATGTGGGCCCCACATCCAAATTTTTCTTCGGTGGGGCCCATCACTTTTGAAAAATAAAGAAAACATAGGCTGCTGCAGCAGCCCATGTGAGGAAAAATATTCAACAATCCCCCATAATTTTTTTAAAACTAGTGTCGTGTAACGGTGCCGTCGTTTCAATCGTTGTGCATAAGGAAGATGTCGCAAGGACTTGAATCCCCTTTAGACCAACTAAATAAAAGATAGATGTATTGTGTCACAGAGACTTGAACCAGCACATATCTAAAAATCCAGTGATCACACAAGATCAAACTTATATGTGGTAGTTTTCACTTTGAACCACACTTGCCTTTATCTTTGCCTTTACCTTGCATTTGCCTTTGCCTTTGCATATTTATGGCCCTGTGCATGTCCAGGTTTTTCCTAGGGCTCTAGGTATCTTTTCACAAGACACCATAGGAGATGGCCAAATCTCCACCCATGCATAGGTGAGTTCTTTAGGCTTGTTTCCTATCAAACATCCCGCATCCGAAATGCTTTGAACTCATTAAGGCTTAAGATCCATCCTCTCTCATGATAGGATTCTAGGTGAGTCCTTTAGGTGTGTTTTCTATCTAACACCCCACATCCGAAATTCTTTGGACTCATTAAGGCTTAACAGCCATCCCCTTTACATGATAGGATTTTAGGTGAAAAGATTAAAGTTTTACTCGGCTAGTTCAACCAGGTAAAGATAGTATTAGAGGTTGATCAAAGATCAATTAAGTACCTCGTTCCTTACGTAGCGCGTTACACAACCCCCAAACCTTGCATTAGACACCGACTAATCCAAGAAAACTTGAATCCTTACTTTATAAATCTTACTTAACTTTTGAACCATTTATCTTGTCATTAGTAGCATAAACTTTGAACTAATAACT